GATTCTCGGCTATCTCTCTGATGCCAACACAAGAATTTTCAAGCACTGTGTCTTTAACTTTTTCGATGTTATCGTCATTAACAAAGGTGGATGGACGACTGACCCAAGGCTTCATGACCTTTACTGACTACTTTGTGCCACTCAAATACCTGTGTTCGTGATAAAGTATACTCTCAAACATAAAACATTTTTAGAACCGTCAATAGATCTCAGTTCGGGAGTCGCAATACCTTTCGAATTACCTGAACATGCTTTACGCAAAATGATCTGTATGTTTCGCTATAAAGAACATTCCTATTAACATTTTCAGCAGGCTTTCTGAAGTAAACAACCAAAACTTAACACACCGAAACATGAAGGAAGTTTAACAACGCGTCTAACGGAGGGAGGTGTCGTGCTCTATTTGTGCATTAATCTCTGGTGTCTCCATCGATCTCCACTGGAAAGTCACAGAAGCAGCAGCATTCCATCGACCTGATTCCCATCTTACGGTTGTGACAACTTAATCTACAGAGTTTAGTATGCAACGCTACAAACTTCGTCTTTGGAGAGGCTGATAACTTGTCTGAATCTTTAAAAATTATATTCTTCCAGAAGGAGCTTCGCGCATGGTATTTAATATCCCACATACATTTGTTATTTCTGATATTTGACTACAAATTATTTACGACATGAAACGAGTTCCAGAGAGATACTAAACGCCTCTTTGCATAAAATCTCATATCTACTCATCTACTGTACAGTTCCCACAATATAACAACAACAACAATAACTTCTTTAAGCTCATTAGGGATTGATTGGCAAGTCAGTGGTTTATGGAGTTTCTAACATTCGCGCAACACTTTGATTGGGATTTAAAGTCAACGCCATATTTGCCATTTAAGTACGTACTCCAGTTGACTGAAATCGATACATTGCCATATTTCAATATCAAAGTGTGGATCGAAAAGCTTGTAGACTTACGAAAATCGCCTCGGAGGTTAGTAAACAAAAGCGGCGACTGGGCGCGAAATTGACATTTTCCCGCATTCTTTTTACTGGCAGCCGGAGGCAACGAGACGAAAGAATATCAAAACAGTGCAACTGCAAACAAATAGGCGATCCAAAAAAGAAAAGCTGAAAAATTTGACTTACCAAAAAAACTTAAAAGTGAAATGCGGAACAATTTTGTCAATGGCCAGCCATCGAGTATTGGAACAAATATAACGGGGGCTATAGATTCACATGTTTGCGTTTAATAAATTTTCTTTTTGGACATGCTTCGCAAAGGGACCAAGCAATTGTGTAATAAAAGGGTAAATCGTTTTTTGTCTGCTTCTAGCTTTTTAATAAATTTAACGCCATCACGCCTCGCAACGCAACCGGTCACAGCTCTCTACAAATGACTCAGTTCATTTACACACACGCATACACACATACAGACATACATCAATACAAATGTATATTCATATTTACCTTTGTGCCAACACCACGACCGTTGGCGTCTATTAGAGGGTCCTAATGACAGTTGGATAGCGAGAAACCAAGGACAATTGCAGAAAAAAAACATTGGGAATGGAAATGGAAAAGGAAAATAACCATTAAGTCCGACACTTCTATTCCCACAGCGCAGCTATTCGATGACAAAGTGAGTGGATCACCCTTTTAGTTGGCCTAATAGGGTTGACAACCAGGATCAACTAAAGAACACATTTGCGCCAAGAGTGTGTATGTGTGTGCAAGCGTTTGCGTGCGTGTATTTGCATCAGGACTCCATATTAAATGTGTTTAAAAAAAAGGTCAAGCAATATGGTAGTTCGACATGAGAAATCCAAATAAAAACCAGAGAAAAGAGATTATATATGAAAATGTGGCAAATGACTTGGAAAGGAAATAAAAATGGGACGTGCAGTGGCGGCAATGTATTCTAGATTAAACTAAACAAAAAAAAAACAGAAGATGAAGTAAACAAAAGCACGGCATGAAACTAGTATGGGCGCTGCTATGAACTAGAAAAACAGCAAAGCATGAAATAATATGGAGAAATGGACTCGAAATGTAACAGTGCATAAACTTAGATATTTATCTTAATATGTACATATGCATTTACATACACACACATGCATACATATACATATGTATAAGCAGGACTGCCGCTCCACTTCGCCAGCGACTGACTCGAAAATATTATGGATGCGTCGTGTAAATAAAGTGCAGCAATTGACTTTCTGCTTTCAGCTCCTTTTCTATTTTTGCTTGCTTTATTTTTTTTTTACATTTTTTTTCTATTTATTCTGCTTTGCTTGCTGGAAATATCCAGGCGTTGCACGTAGCCGCACAGCGTGCATTAAGTAAACAAAGTTAAATTTACAAAACCCAGCATTGAAAAAATCCGAATCACTCGGTGTGTGTTGCTTTATATGTGTAAACTAGTGTAAATGATTTTTGATTTGATAAACTCGCTTGGATTCGATGCGCCTCCAATTATGTGACTTATTATTTTATACCCGGAACAGGGTGTATTAAGTTTGTCCCCATTTTCGGTGATATCCATCAGAAATGTTATTGAACCGCCGATATCGGATCACTATAATATATACTATATAGCCGCATAGGTTAGGTTAGGTCGTAGGGCTGATCCTAGCAACAAATGGGACGCATGATCCCACTTGAACAGCTGTGAATGTCGTTCCGTTCTAGACGAAACTTAGGGTTTCAGCAGAGAATTTGAAATTACACTACAAAAACTTCCAGACATCTCGAGATTTCACTTTGTTCATTTAACTACACTTTTTTAACTTACTAAAATGTTTCACTGGGAAACCATTTGCACTTCTAAACACCCCCCACATTTAACGGCATATGTATGGTATGTTTGCGTATATGTTAGTAGACACACGGCATTAACTCCGCTACGTTTGTCAACACTGCAGCAGCACACTCAAGTCGTTTGGCCATACTTAAGCAAGAAATTTGTATGCAGTTGGATGAACGAGGACATTTCAGCCGGCACAAATCGACAATTTTCTCTCATGTGTATGTGTATGTAAGCATGTTATATGCTATGTATATGAATGTGATAATGGGTGGGCGGGCAAATGCAAACCAGCAGCAGATGAGCTGCGAGGCGTCAATGCGCACAAATGAAATACAAATGAGACTGCTGCTCCTACCGCTGTCGCTGTTGTTTGTGTTGGTGGCACAATTCGTGAGTTAGCTCAGGCCGGTGGCGTGGCATGACCATACACAGACTCTTATCGTACATATCGACATATCTCGGGTGTAGCATAGGAATATATGCTAATATCTTCATACATACATGTATATAAATGTGAATATGTGTTTGTATATTTGTACTTTTTTGTTTGGGCAAACTTGTCGCACAACGCAGCGAATTCATGCTGATGATGTAAAATAATGTAAACAAATGCGACCAAGCAGTCAAGGAATGCATCCTTCTGGCGGACACGGATAAATTCATATTCATATGTGTGCCCTGTACAGGCTGCATACACACACACACACACACCATTATTATACGCATATGTACATGTGTAGCGGTAAATACTTAAGAATCTGTTTGCGATTGGGGTTGAATTGTGTTGTCTTTACTTACTGCTTATCACAGTTTTAATGACTCGATGAACTTTAGAAATGATTTTAAGGACTTAATTAGGGGATTAGACAACAAAAACTTCCACAGCCAAATTAACAATAAATTGCAGAACACATATTTGTTTATGGTATGTATATATGTAAGTGAAGCAGTAACATTGAATATGGGAAACTATAATATTTGTGAGCGATGAATTTGCGGTCTAAGGAAACATGTGTCTATGTCATTTGCTGCATACTTTGCCAGGCAATAAATAATATATATTTAAATTAACCACTAAATCTTATATGTAATTGGTGACTTTTTGCATTAAAGTTAAAACTATAAATAAATAAATATACTGTGGGTTTTGAATATTTAGCTGGCCTCTTTCTACTTCCAAACCCCTAAAACTGCCAAAAAAAAACAGTTTTTGTTCTTAAACCTTTTTAATAGATACATACTTATGTATGCTGCAAATCCTTTTCTAACGCACAAGATTGAGAGAGAATATATGACAACGTTTTTGTAAAAGATTCATGTCTTTTGGTATGAGTCTAGCCTTGGTACGCTTCATACCCAACACATTAACCTGATGATTGAATGTGTTGAGTCGATCCATAAGCGTTGTTGAGATCCTCCGCTGTCTCTGTGATGGCAACACGATGATTTTCAAGCACTATTTCTTTAACTCTTTCGATGTTATCGTCATTAACGTCAGATATGAATGAATAATTCGCATGAGGCAAGTTTACGATGACTTCACGACCTTCACTGAATACTCTGTGCCACACAAATACTTGTGTTCGTGATAAAATAGACACGCCAAAACACTTATGTAACATTTTCAATGATTCCGTCGCCGTGATTCCATTGGAAACACAAAGTTTTAAGAAAACTCCTTGTTCAATATTTTTCCATTGTAAAAACCTCTTATTAACATAAACAAAGGTTGTACCAATCTAAGAAACATTTTTTTATCAATTCAGTTTGCGCGCACAGTTTAAATGGATCAGTCCGCGTCACATTTGATCAAATCATATATCCTTCTAAGGACTTTCACATCATCAGAAAGTAGATACTTCGTGTGTTGGAACTATGCAGCGTAATTGCAAATAAAATAAAAAACAAAAGAAATATGAGTGTACAAGTATGTTGCTTAGAGGCATGCAATTTTCGAGCAAATGTCATTTTTATGGTTTTGATGTCAGCAAAAAACTAGGTCAACCAAGTTATTTTGAATAATCAGATTTTATTGCCGCTTCGCCGAGACATGCAAAGCGGATTGCATGCAAAATTTCCATAAGCTCTAGATAAATATATTTACATTTTTAAATATAAATACAAAGTACAAGCCCATTTTATACATTTATTTATTGACATTTGCTAATTTTCGCTTTTTACACACTTTTTTCTCGAACCTCAGGCGAAATCGATGATTTGATAGAGAAGCTGAAATCGATCTCGGTGAGTGTGGAGAACACGTCCAGTGACAGCTACAGCAACACCAACAACCTACTCACCCAAATATCCGCTACGAAAGACCCCAAACTCTTCGACAAACATGAATTGGCCGATCTCTTCATGGCTTTGGCACAATCAGAGGAATTGAACATACGCAAGGAGGCAGCAAAATGCATTGCCGAAATCACAAAATCCGAAGTGCAACGTAAAAAATTCACAAAACGTGAAATTATCGAAGTGTTTCTGAAATGTCTACGCGAGCTGCCGGCTGATGCGAATATGGAGTTGCCCATACAAATATGCCGAGCTCTCGGCAATATCTGCTATTTGAATGATGAGGCGCGCGATCTCATACTCGAGCTGCATGGCGACGAGGTGCTTGTGCGCCTGCTCGACATAACGCATGTAGACGACACAGAGAACGCATTACAGTTTATTAAAGTGCGCGGCGGTTTGCTTTCGAATTATTTATTGGGTGGCGAGGGTTTGGCTAAACGCGCCCTGGATTTGGAAATTATGCAAAAGCTACAACAGATCATTACAATCGGCATGGGCAATGTTGATGAACATGAAGATCTGCTATTGAATACTCTACCGCTGTTGAGCATACTAACGGAAAATGCGCCCGATTTAAACTTTGATGCGAATCTCAATATACAGTTGTCACATATTTTGGCTGCCTCCACAAATCCCGATTTAGCGGAAATGTGCCTTGAATTGTTGCATTATCAGGCGGAAAATGATGATGTGAAATTGCTGCTGGCAAAGGATGGCCTCTGTGAGACGATCTATAATCTGCTTGAGAAATATAAGACTTTGGCGAGTACCAGTGAGGCGCGTGCGCTTATGAAGCTGGCATGCGAATTGATTGTATTAATACTCACGGGAGGTAAGTAGCAGTGAAGTAGGTCATATTGTATGTATTAGTATAAATATCTAAATAAAAGATATGCGATATAATAGCTAGTAAAGGAAAGACATAAGAATAGTACACATTGTATATCTAACCTCAAAAAACGCCCAACTTTATCAAAAAAATCGAATTCTCTCAGGCTTTATCAATCAAATATTTTTGTGTACGAGTATATACAAAATGCTAAATCAACTTTTGTGAGAGGTCCTATGGAAGTCATATTCAGAAACCCACTGCTTATCACGATAATGGTAAAAAAATCAGGTCTTTTGATACGAGTCTAGCAACGACACGCTTCATACCCAAAATGTGTTGAGTCGATCCATAATAGGTGTTGATATCCTCTACTATATGATGCCAACACGACGATTTTCTGTTTCTTTAATTTTTTCATGGTATCGTCATTAACCGAGGTGACGACTCGCATGGGCCGCCAAGTTTTCGATGACTTCACGATCTTCACAGTACCACTCCAATATTTGTGGTAGTAATAAAGTAGACTCCCGCAATACTTTCAACGATTTAGTAGCGGTTCCATTGAAAACACAAAATTCCAAGCAAACTGGTTGTTTAATTTTTTTCCATAGTAAAATTGGCCAGATAAATTTTTCGCGTAGCTATCAAACAGCTACAAAATACACACTAATTGATGATATGGAGGTCAAACTTCACAAGTACAGAAAAAGTTATGCACCCATCTAGGCCAAAAATATTTTATCGATAATGCTTGAGCGAATTAATATCGTTTACATTAAAAATATACTTTTGAGCTGCACCGAAATGTATACTAGCTATCGTTATTGTTACGACTAACTGGTTAAAAAGACTTTACTGCTATTTATACTAACTAGTAGTTACTTATTACTTGTTGATAGTTCGTTTGTTTACATATCCTTTGTTCTAAGATAAGGTTATTTTGATATATTTTGTTGACTGAAACATAAGATTGGTTTGATGTTTGATTATTTAGAATATTTTGGTGATACAATGTGATAAGTAATACGTTGCTTAACTCGCGCGCAGTTTAAATGGGCCAGTCCCGGTCAAATTTTATGCTACAAGTATTATATACCTAACCTTATTTTTTTTTTATCACACAGCGTATTATATTGAATGAATGCATAAATATTATTTATTATTTTGTATTTATTATTATTTCACACACTTCCAGACGAATCAATGCATTATCTTTACTCGACGCCACTGCTTAAAAGCATGGAGGACTGGCTCGATTCGGAAGACATCGATCTTCTCACCACCGGTGTGCTTGCGCTGGGCAATTTCGCGCGTACAGACAGCCATTGCATTTATATGGTAGAAAATAAGATTATGAACAAATTACTCGATGTCTTGGCCAAAAATAATGGCGTAAAAGACGATGTGCGCCTGCAGCATGCACTGCTCAGCGCATTGCGTAATCTTGTCATACCGAAGCCAAACAAAAATGCTGTCATACAAGCTGGACTTGTTGAAACCATACTGCCAATGCTGGAGATACATCAGCCGCCGGTCGTCTTCAAGCTGTTGGGTACTTTACGCATGACAGTGGATGGTCAAGGTAAAATCTAGAAATGTAATAGTTAACATAGTTTTTACTATTTATACATTTATCTTGCAGAAAAACTGGCTTTGGAACTGCTACGCAATAAGGCACTTATCGAGCAACTTGTACACTGGAGCAAATCGTCAGACTATGCTGGCGTCACTGGCGAGTCGCTAAGGCTAATGGCTTGGCTAATCAAGCACGCCTATTTGGGTCGCATCGCTTACGCCTTGCCACGCAAAGGTGATGCACCGGTTGAACATTTCGCAGATAAGCTGCCACCAGAGGATTACGATCGCAGCAGCTTGCAAGCATTCATCGCCATTGAAGGCACCGTCGAGGCTATGATCAACATGTTGACATCACAACATTTAGTCATGCAAAACGAAGCGCTAATTGCCTTATGTATATTGTCTGTGGTGTATTTGACGAATAGCGCTGCCGCCAAGAGTGATGATGTGAATCTGGCAGAGATTTATATTAAATATGAAGTTGGTAAGAAATTGGCAGAATTAATACGTAAATCATCGGACACAATGACCAAGGAGATTGTGGAAAATTTGCAAAACTTTAATAATCTACTGCGCACTTCCGGCAAATTGGTGACGCATCTGGAGGAGAACAATATCAATGAGTTGCTGAAGTCGATACCGATACTAACCGAGTACTGCACACTCTAAAATTATGCGTAGTGTGCGTCCATAGCCACAGGGTTGGGGACTGTTGTCAGTTAGGGAACTGGCAAAATCAATTTGATTTGAAGGTTTATCACGCGTGTGTGGATTAATGTGAAGAAATTTTAACTTAGGGAAAAATGTTGGCAAATGCAAATTGTTGAAATTGTTAAAGAAAAAACGCATAAATAATACATATATAATAACTAGTTTATTATTTCTCTAAACACACAGATATATGTACATATATAGACATATAAGTGCTGACATTCAAGAATCTATGTTTCGGCACATTACATTAACCACGTGAGAAGTAGATTTGCAAAGATTTCGTAGCGAACGAGTAAACGTTTTAGCATTTTACGCGAATTTTTTTAGTGTTGTGACCGTTTACTTACATACATACGTACATATTTACACCTACATACATATAGTATATACTCACTGAAATGTTTAAATGCGAAAATATCAATGTGCCGGCGGTAAAAATGCGTATAGGAGAAATTTTTAAGAACATATATATATATATATATATATTTATATATATTTTTTTTTGTTCTTAATATTTTTTTAAACTATTTTTCTTTTTAATATTTGAGCTAATTAGTGCGATTTGATAAAAGTATGCAAAATTGTAACACAATCAGAATTCTAATAAGACAAATTTATTAGAATTGTTCCCTCCTCGTCGCGACCAAAACTTTTTGCAGCATAATTTAAATGATAAAAATAAACGCCCATAACCAATCTTATGACTATTATTATGGTATTTTTGCAACAAATATTCAAATTGAAATAATTTACATTAACGAAGTATTTTCTTATTTAAGGGACACACCTGATATGTCAATTCAATTGCTTTAAAAATTTACGATTATACACAGTAAAATTTTTAAGAAAAAATTAAACATTTTACGAGTTACATGCGATCTCCGGATGGTGCTAAAAAAGTACCTCCATTGCCGCAGTAATTCGTATGTGAAACCTAAAAAAAATTTCTACTAAAATATATTGTTCGTACAATGACCTATGCTATTGTCAAAAAAAAAATCGGAAATTGACAAAATCGCAACGTTAAACCAAAATAAGCTTAATTTTTTCCAAAATAAAAAAACTGATAGGTCATTGTATGGAGAACTATGTATATGCAGAACTTGCAGAAAAAATCTGATAGTGAGAAAAACGCGTTTAAAGTTATCTTTATATCAATTTATATTGATGGAGCTGATTAAAGTGATTGAACTGAGCGGCTACACTTTGGAAGGCTGTAACTCAAAAACCTATTTCAGATATCGATTTAATTTTTTAGTATGTTATTCATAAAGGTACAGTCAATTGTAAATAAAAAAAAATTTCACACTAGATGTGCCCCTTAATATTTGCGTAACAAACTTAGTTAGTTTTGAATTTTTCGCAAATAGTTAACATTTTTTGCCAGCACGAATTTCTTAACTCTCGTCCACACATACTTTAGGTTTCCACCTGTACGCATGTGCTCACATAATACATACATTTTACATAATACAAATAGATGGCACATAAATATGAAATATAGCGTCATCTGCACGAATGCAAATTATTTTAAATAATCAACAGTATATTGTGAATTTTATTTAATATACACCCATAAATAAACATACATACATTATATTAATTAAAAATTTAATGTCGCACATTAGTTTATAAGTAATAAGTACATATATAATAAAGTTGAGAGAATCGTAGTGAGTGTGTAGTCGCACATGTACTAGCGCTAGAACAACGATTTGCAGTCAGACTTGTAGTTTTTAGTAATAGCATATACAATATTGAAGCATTGTATCGTAATTTAGTAGTAGAAGAAAAAGGTATCGTAAAATTCAAACCTCAGCAAAAAAAAAACATATATCTTTTTTTTGAAAAACAGAAGATGCAGATAGTAGTAATTCAAGAGTTAAAAAATCAGTAATTATTAATATTTGATATTAAAAAATTCTTAATCATCCACATATTTTTTATGTACAAATTACATCTTTAACGATGCAAAACTCTCTCTCATTGAAAACTATCATATATTCTTCTATTATATAAATTACATACATATATTTTTGAAAAACTTGCATGTTTCTTCCTCAAAAACGATTTCTAACGGATGTAATTAAAAAAAACTTTTTTAAATTTATATTTATATATTTAAGCTCCAAAGTAAATAAAATGTAAGTGCGTTGGAGATGCTTGAAATAGCACATGTGCATGCATAAATATATTTTACCGTTTCGCAAAGTATTAATTATTTATTTTTAATTAAAACAAATAAATTATTTGTATTTTAAATAGTTTACAAAAGCACAATATGTAAGGTATGTTTACGTATATATGTACATATATAATTACATACCTACATAAATCCTGGTTATTTACATAGTGATGCAAACATCTTAAAATGTAAACCTTTTTTATTTAATCATAACCCAATGTAATAAATTTTCGAAAATCGTGCACCCGCAGCATTTTTAACAAAAAAAAAATAGTGAAAGTAAAATAAATAGCATTTAATCAAGCAGCAACTGTAAGGACAGCATTAAACTTCAATATTAAAAACAATCAGCACAATACGAAACATAAAACGGGTGTTAAAAAAATTTTTTTCTAAGATAAAATTTTAAACATGCACAATATTGATTATATAATGTTTTGCGTAAAAATAATTAACTTGAACTAGATATATACATATGTGCATATGTAGGTGCATACATACATACTTATAAACATGCACGCAAGATTGTATATGAATTGAGTAAAATCAGCCACACAAAGTATTGTAATAAAATCGGTTAGAGGCATTTATACAATGTCATTATTTAATATATTGATGATTACATTTAAACATAAAAAATCATGAGATTCAAATAAAATTTGAAAATAATATTAATTTAAGTGAAGAAATTATACATCATACATTCTTTCAAAAAACACAAAAAAAAAATAGTCTAAGCAATAAAACCTTGTTAACCTGCTCTAACACCACAAAATAAATCACCAAGAAATTCAAAATCAATAAATCGATTATAGTAGAATATGTGTGTATTTTATTTACTATGGCGATAAATATAGTGGTGGTGGGCTTTTGTTTTTATATTATATTTTAAAGTTTGTAGACTCGCCAACCAACCTCTGAGCTTCTTGAGTGTCACTATCGATGTGTGTGGATTGCCGTTGCGTTGATGGTAGACAATTTCTCCCCTATTGGCTAAAGCTGATCGCTTCTAGGGGATTGATTCCCTCAGGCGGTCCAAGTTTTGATAGTCCAAGTTAGAACTGCGCGTGCTCACCGCGAATTGACCCCGATCTTTTCCGCTTGACGTTGCTATAAGTGACTCTCTTTTTATCATTTTTGACCATCTACTTCGGAAATGGATCGATTTTGTTACGATGCAGCAGCGATTCCAGATGAAAATTCGATCCAAGATGGTTTCAAGTAGTGCTCGATGATTTTATCAATATTTTCGATAATTGGACTTTCAAAACGGGGTGTATCTTAGACAATAATATTACCGGAACGGGATCGACAAAACCAAGATGCGCTTGAGTGGCAGTACCAGGACTTTATGGTCACTATTCACATTTTCAGCTATCTATAAGAAAAACTGTAAAGGTCGGCGTATTTTCTCTTTCCTGGTGTTCATCATTGACGACTGCTCAAATCATATTTTCCAAAAAATTCCGAGCCAAACGAGAACAAAATTGTCTGAGAAGTTTTTTAGTACGAAATCGTATATATAACTGCTACCGACTGATAGATGTCGCTCGTAATTTGGTTTAGCTGATCTGAAATTTTTGTGATTTTAACATAAATACAGACATATCTAGCAAAACAATATAAATTTCTAAAAACTAAATAAATAAAAACTACAGAATTCATATAACCGTTGTATTAATGGATTGCCCATGTTGCATATGTAATTTACAGTTTAATGTGGCATCGCCAGAAGCCACGTCAAGTTTTGCTAAAAAATGTGTAGCCCAATTGTTTCTGCCATTCGTATTGCATTATTTTTCTCTTTTGCTCATCTTTGCAGTTCGATGAAAATTTGTCGGGTTAATTTTGTGGTGCCAATAAATTAAATTGGATTTAATTAAATCTATAAAACTTGATATATCTGTTAATCCGTGTGCTTAAAAGTAAGGTTTACGTTAACAATTTCCTTGAAATAGTTTTAATCAACGTGTGTGTGTGTTGACAGAAATTTTCAATTTCTTCGCTATTGCCTCGAAAGGTGGTGATAAAAATTTCGCTGAACAAAAGCAGCAAAGAAAAGTGTAAGTGCCTCGGAAAATTTGCAAAAGTATCATCAGGTTATTATATGGTCAATGACTAGATATACTAGTAAAAGTAGTGAAAAGTACACACTTTCTTAGTTCCGGAAATAATTTCAGATGTGCTGTGAAAATTCAATTGAGTGGATTGGTGTGCACGTAATAATACATATGTAGTCAATAATTACATATCACAATTTAATATAACGCCCAAATGTTCTCAATGCTGATTGGAAATAGCGATCATTGACCCAAGTAACAAAGTTTAAATTGTCACATCACATCGTCCTTTTTAAAAAGAATATCAAAATTTCGGTATAAGAGCGCTTTCACACATAAAAATATTCCTTATTGGAATAAAAACCTAACATTGCGTCGCTGCTCTCGTCCCTTTGATTTTGCTTGTGCGTCTGTTCTACTCAGCTGGTTGCTGTCGTCGTCAGTAGTGGGCCATTTAATACGTACACGCATAGAAAGGCAAAGCTTGTCTACATTCATAGCTTTCTTTCGACTAGGTTTCGTACTTTTCGTGTTGGTGATTTTGCATTTTTCATACTTCTGCATATTTGCCATTCGTCGACACGGTGGGGTTTAGTCAATCAACAAAGGAGATGTGCAAGTTAACAGCAAACGTGCGCTAGATACAATAGTAAAGTACACGCGGAAAGCAGCTGTCAAAACGTGCAATACGTCATTTGATCAATCGTTGAACAGCTTCTGTGGAAGCATAGATAAGAGATTTTCCGAAATACGTCACAACTATGCTGTCGTCACTTGAGTAAAATACATTCAACCGGTTGTGTATACACGCTACGATAATACTATTGGCACACGTAATAGTTCTGCTTCTCATAATGCCTCAGCAGGCCTGCAGATTCAATATCATTTTAGTTTATCTCGTTCGACAGTTTTTTTAGTGACATTTTTATTGCAAAATAAACATAGGAAATTCGAATTTGTTCCTTACTCCTACAACTTAGCAGATATTGTCTTTCGATAAAAAAAGCAATACTTTACGTGACGAAATGTGAGTTTTGTAATGCAACCGTTTGAGGTTCAGGAAGTAAAGTTTAACTTGTATACATTTAATAATATGGAGAGAAAGGGGCCATCGTAACAAAAACAACAACCAAAAAGAAATCGTCTGGGACATTTCTAATTGGAGGTCCAACGTTCAAAACTCGGTTAAAGTTGTGAATATGTGTATTACTAGTTGCCATGCGAGTTAAAAGCGAACATATTTAATTATATTTGTGTACGTAAGGTGTGTACAGACAGACAGAGATATACCTATTCTTACAACTGAATAAAAGTAAACAATTACTCCGTAGTCGCAATAGTGGAGGCATTTGTGCGTGACATGTCAACATTAAATTAGGGGTGCAAACTCTATTGATAAGCTAAATTATAGTGTTAAAGTTTACATAGTACCATCTATAATATATTTACATTCTTGTATGATTTTTTTTAAATAATGACTAATTGAAAATGTTTGCATTGTAATGAATTTCGGAAAACTTCAAATTATTGTTTTAAAGTAGTCCCTTTACACTAAATACAATTTAATTGATTCTACAAATTTTCGAATTCAGCAGCATTCTTAAAATGAAGAATATCTGCACCCCTAAATTAATAAAATAATTTTCCCCATTAAGTTTCTAACAACTTCTGATTCGTTTATTCGATTCATATTGCGTGCAATTAAAAATTCAGGAAGGTTTTTTTTTGCTTGCGCATCGGATTGCAATATTTTGCAAAAAGCAACAATTAAACGTTTTTGTTGACTTCCGCTTACTTATTCATATATAAATATTTATAAATGTACGTTTATGTGTGTAGACATTTGCTTTTCAACGATTTTCTTAATATTTAATTTCTTCATGTTCATGTATGTATGTATGTAGATATGTATATTAAGAAAAACATTCATTCACCAACATACTCGTATACAGGCAAATTTGCTGATTTATATGTTATTTGTTCATCTTGTACTAATACATTTTTGGCTTAGATAATGGAAACAATGATGATTCGAAAATTATGTATGCATAACATATAAGCAGGGCGAAAGTATATTTTTGTACCAGCTATTGCTGGGTTAAGGTCAAGGTTAAGACTCACTTTTTTAATGATGATATTATTATAACTTATTTATTAATCATTTTCTGCATATCTGTTAGTTTTTATATTTCATTTTATTTTTTTTATGTTTTATTTTTATTTATTCGTCGTAACTTAAATATGTATTTCAAGGTATATTGTATATATTGAAGATAATAAGATATTAAAATATAAATTGTTGACAAAATACAATTTTTATAATAGACATAAAATATGGTAAAAGTTAGAAACGAATTGCAATTAAAGGTGTTCATACTTGTTTGTATCTTATTGAGCAAATACCATAAAATTCAGTTAAAAATTAAAAGTAAAATAGCATGAACCTTATCTTAAAATGCACAATTATACTTTACAGTTTAATCATTTTAAATAAGTATATGATAATGATACGACTCTGTGTTAGTCGAAAAAAAACTACATTTTAAAGTCAACTCAAATACAGTGAAGTCAGTAGTTATAAGCATTAAAGGGTATGCAAATATGTTTTTCTTGATTGCAATAGGTGTCCGATCTGAACAATCGAAAATTGTAGCGATGTCTTACATAATAATATATGCCAAATTTGGTGAATATACCTTTTCAAACATACTTTTATTAAATATAGTAAATGATGAATGCTACCGAGTTGGCAGACCTTGGTCGAATAAAAATCTGTTTCTATTCTAGTAACGTAGATCCCACTGTAATGTGAACGGGAAGTTACTCAGATACTTACTACTTGCCGATCCAAGGTCAATAGATCGCCGAATTAAAAGCCTTTATTATTTTTTTTTTAATATAATATATATATATTTTTTTTTATAAATTTAATATATATATATATTTTTTTTTTTATTAATATAATATATATATATATTTTTTTTTTATTAATATAATATATATATATTTTTTTTTATAACTTTAATATATCGCCATATTAAAAGCCTTTATTATTATTCTTTTTAATATAATATATATATAAATATTTTTTTTATAAACTTAATATATATATATATGTATATATATTTAATAATTATACTAAAAAAACTTGTTTTTAAAGTATTTTTTCCACAATATAAACGTTATAAGAAACAAATAAATTAAACCTTAATTGTTTTTCTTCTTTAATATAGTGTATATCATTTTACTAGAACTTTTACTTAAACTTCCGGAAGGCCAATAAAAACATAGATAAAATACCAATTCCGTCTGCTTGTCGTAAATGTTATTCGTGCGCTAAGATAAGAGATTTGTATTTATTGTATTCAATTATCTTTGATAAGAACTTAAGTGTTCGAAAATAATTTGATTATTTTTGTTGACAAACGCTGAGTTGTGTAATTTTAACCTCTGGGAGTGGTGATATGCACATGTACCCGATTGACGAGCTCAAGTGTTTTATTAAATTCCCATATTATATTCCCTAATTTCAAATTCTCATGTTCCATCAACAGGTGTTTTCATTTCTATGAATTAAGCAAAGCTACAAGAAAATGTCTGGCTATGCGAATACAAATTACGGTCCTCCGCCCATGGGGCAAACAAATTTTGTGAACGGCTTACCAGCCACACAACAGCAGCAGCAAACAACTCAAGGAGTTGCCGGTGCACCGCCACCGCCCTTCTCCGCAAATCCTCAACACCAAATTCAGCAGCAGCAACAACAAATACTACAACAGAAACAACCACAACAACAGCAATTATTGTCGCAGCCGGTTCACACGTTGCAAAGTAATATGAGTAAATTTTTGCCACCAACGTCAAACTCTGCGTCATCAGCAGCACTTAATGGACCAACGAGACCCCCAACAGCAGCAACAACACAAGTGCCAGCTAGTAATTTGCCGCCACATATGCGACCGCCAGGCATGAACGTTCCACCGTTAGGTATGCCCTTGACCAATGGTGGAAGCGGCAGCGGTGATTTGAGCGCGAACTCTTCGCGCACAGCATCACCTTCACTGGCGCAGCAAGCACAATTTGGCGGATATAACGCCAAACCGTCAATGAGTCAAGCGCCTAGTGGCAATGTAACACCAAGTAATCCACAATACTCGTCAGCAAGCGCTGCAGCTTTGTCGGGCAGTATGCAAAACTTAAGTATTAATCGCATCAATGGCGCGTCGCCGGCGAACATTCCTCCTCCAACGAATATGCTGCAACAGCGGCAACCATCGACAGCATCAAATCAGACGCAGCAGCAGCAAATGCCGTTCCCAAGCAATTACCAGGTGCGCAGAAATAATTTACTTACCTAATTCGTATTTTTTTAAGATTTTTATAAATTTTCATATAGGCCAATTTTCGTACTAATGCCATGAATGCAGCCACACCTCTGGTTGCACAGCCGCCAGCATTGCAAGCAAACGTTCCGCCACCGCACGCGACCGCCGCTTATGCCATGAATACATCGTACAGCCAAACAGCACCAACGCAAACTTTGAACGCAACGGCGGGTGCGCAACCACCAGTCAGCAGTGCGGCTATGTTCGGAACATCGCGTTCACAGCCTATTTTGGCAAATGCGCCACCAAGTGCACGTCCACAGCCGCCACAAGTAGCGACACTTACGAATGCCAATTACGCACCGAGCACTCCAGTTGGTACCATGCAGCCACCACTACCGCCGACAAGTGCTGCCGCAACAGCCCTGCAGCAAAATCAGTTGAATAACAATACACAGCAACAAACGTCGACGCTACGCAAGCCCATGTATCCTACTGGACCGCCACCAATGGTGGCGACTTCACCGCTACAGCAACAGCAACCACAGCTGCAACAGCAGCAGCAGCAGCCCTATGCGCCAGTGTATCAGCCACAGCCGGGTGTATTCAATGGCCAGCCTAGTACTGCACCGTTGCAATATCAAACACAGCCTTATATGCAGCAAACGCCGCCAGTACACCAGCAGCAATTCTCTCAGCCGCAACAGCAGCAGCCACAACAAACACCGAACTTTCCTATACCTAGCGGTGACGCATATAATCAGCAAATGAGTGTCACACAAGCGGGTTTCAGTCGTCTATGGGGTCAAGATACCATTGATTTAATGCAAAATCGTCACATTTTGTCACCTGCCACTCTAACACCTCCCCGCATTGTACTCAACAATCAATTCCACGAATCGATTAATTGCAATTTAAAGTAAGTTCGGTAGCTGGTAAAGCGGAAATGAATTAAATTGATAATTTATAATTCTTTTCACACAGCATAATGCGTAGTACTATTGCCAAAATACCAGAAAGCAATGCTTTGCTACAAAAGTCTCGTTTGCCATTGGGCATTTTGATACATCCATTCCGTGATATTAATGTAAGTAAAATAAAAAAAATTTGATGATTGCTTGATATGTAGGAGTTTAAGTTAATTAGCGATAATGATATACACGAAATGGCTAAAATTCCTAAGTGATGATATTTTTTGAAACTGCTAAAATTAACTTTAAATTGAAATACCGTTCTACAAAATTAAACTAAGTTACTTAAGAATACCTAGTATAACTAATACATCGTTTTTAAGCGTCCCAGTAAAATTATCGTAGTTGAATCAAAATAGTCAGGAATAGAGTAGCGCTAGTACTAAAATTATAAAATTACAAGAAAAAAATGTTAAACTCGGCTGCACCGTAGCTATTACATCCTTTACAAATGGATTTCTTATAGCATAAAAAGATTTGTATCTTGATTTTGATCGATCAGTTTGTTTGACAGCTAAAGGCTAGTATAATGGTCCGATCTGAAGTATATTGTAGGAGATTATAGGGTTGCCTTGGATAATAATCTGTGCCAAATTTCGTGAAGATGTCTTGTCAAATAAAAAAGTTTTACATACAAAGACTTGATTTTGATCGGTCAGGATGTATGACAGCTATATAGTATAGTTGTCCGATGCTAATAATATTTGTGTTGATTGTAGCCTTACCTTGGAAAATAATCTACGTTGAATTTCGTGAAGATATCTTGTGAAATAAAAAGGTTTTTCCTACAAGGACTACTTTTTGATCGATCAGTTTGTATGACAGCTTAATCCTATATTTTTAAATTATTACTCGAAATATATAAATTTTTTTAAAAATTGTATATCTATAGTTATGAAATTCAAATTCACAACTTAGTTTTAAATCAATCTAAATCATCTCCATTTGCAGAGTTTACCAGTAATTCAGTGTCCCAACATTGTGCGTTGTCGTTTGTGTCGCACGTACATAAATCCCTTTGTATATTTCGTCGACAGTAAAATGTGGAAGTGCAATCTTTGCTATCGGGTCAATGAATGTAAGTACACATTATTCACGATTGCTGTTATTCAATGTTAATTATTGCGTTATTCAACATTATTTTAGTGCCCGAAGATTTTCAATATGATCCAGCAACGAAAACATATGGTGATGTAACACGTCGTCCGGAAGTGCGTTCGAGCACTATTGAATTTATTGCACCTTCCGAATATATGGTAAGCAATAATTGCTTTAAATTATATGCTTATTTTTTTAAATTTATTTTTAAACTAAACTTTTAGTTACGCCCACCGCAACCCGCCATCTATTTGTTCCTGTTCGATGTTTCCATTATTGCCCAACAAAGCGGTTATCTGGAGAATATTTGCGCCACACTGAGTAAACACTTAGACGATATGCCGGGTGATGCACGCACACAAATCGGCTTTATTGCATACAACAGTCACGTGCATTTCTACAGCATGGCTGAGGGCTATAATCAGCCACACGAACTGACGTTGCTCGATATAGATGGTTAGTTGTGTTTTTGTTTATATCTTTTTTACTGTTAAAATTTGTATTCATTAACATTTATTTATTATTAAAGATCCGTTTCTGCCGCGACCTGACAATCTATTGGTCAATATGAAGGAGTGCAAAGAATTAGTAAAGGATTTACTAACACAACTGCCTAAGCGTTTTGCCGACACACACGATCCGGGTTCAGCGCTCGGCTCTGCTTTGCAGGTTGCTTATAAGCTGATGGTGAGTCGTTTAAGTTAATAATGTAGTGTCGTATCTATTTTTGGGATTTAGCGAAACATTTTTTTGTTTATTGAAAAGCTTAATAAAAAATTAAAAAGTACATATTTTCAAACAAAATTCGGGGTTTTGAAAATAATGGCTATGAATGGTCTTCAGAGTTTCAAAATTTGATAAGAAAATATATTTCGAAAAGACAAACCATTCATAACATGATTTTCGTTACTTGAACCATTATAGAAATTGTAAGCTGTCAAAAGAAAACGGTATTCATATATCATAAAATTTGTTCGCCTTAATTTTGAGGCTATGCCGATCAATAGCTTCATTTTAAAATTTAATATTCAATATGTTAAATTTTTTTATGTTCAACAGCAAGCATCTGGCGGTCGCGTGACTGTTTTCCAAACGTGCCTTCCCAATAAAGGACCCGGTTCGCTGGAACCGCGTGAAGATCCCAACAATCGATCCGCCAAGGATGTGGCTCATCTAAATCCAGCAACAGATTTCTACAAGCGCTTTGCCTTAGAATGTTCGGGCTACCAAATTGCAGTGGATTTGTTTTTGCTGAATCAACAGTATAGTGATATGGCAACGATATGTAAGTGTTGATTTAGTTTGTTTAGTCAATTTTTTTTGTTTGTTGCCTAAAATAATTTTATTTATTGTATTTATTATTATTATTTTTTTGATAACTGAAAAACGAGTGTGTTTTGTCAATTATTGCTATAAAAATATAAATAAACAGTTAATTAAGCACTTAGCGCTGACTAATTTGCATTTCATCCGCCATTGCAGCGGGCATCAGCAAATATAGTGGCGGCTGCGTGCATCACTTTCCGCTCTATCAGAAAACGAAGCCGCAGATTGTGGACTCAGTGAAGCAATGCTTCAAACGCTATCTGGTGCGTAAGATCGGCTTTGAGGCTGTGATGCGCATTCGCTGTACACGCGGCCTACAGGTGCACACATTCCATGGCAATTTCTTCGTGCGTTCAACAGATTTACTTTCATTGCCGAATGTCAACCCGGATGCAGGCTACGGCATGCAGGTTAGTCACCAACAATTTACCTACATATATATTTTTTTACATATTTTTGCATTTGTTTATATGTCATACTTTTAGATTTCTTACGAGGAGTCGTTGAGTGAAGCGAAAACGGTCTGCTTCCAAGCAGCGCTGCTGTACACGAACAGTGAGGGCGAACGTCGCATACGTGTCCATACAATGTGCCTACCCGTAACCGGCTCACTGCCCGACGTTATGCATGCCGCCGATACGGAAGCCATAATTGGTTTGCTATCGAAAATGGCAGTTGATCGGTCGCTGACGTCAAATGTTGCCGATGCGCGCGAAGCGTTCATCAATGCGACTGTAGATATATTCAATGCATTTAAAATTGCACAAAATCTACCCTCCGGCCAGAGTGGTCAATTGATTGCGCCGCGCAGTTTGGCACTGATGCCATTATATATATCGGCGTTACTCAAACACGTAAGTGTAATATTGATTGCAGCGCGCAATTATTTGCATTCACATTTATTTCTACAAATCGCTTTTGCTTAACGCTTCCTTATTTTTATATTTACACAGCCGGCTTTCCGTGTCGGCACCAGCACCCGTCTAGATGATCGCGTATATGCGATGGATTGCATGAAAACATTGCCATTGGATCAGTTAATGAAATTTATTTATCCAGAATTTTATTTAATTGACACACTGTTCTATCCGAATGCGAATACGTTAGAAGATGATGATGAGGAAGATTTACCGGAATTACCGCGTTTGCAGCTATCGGCTGAATTGTAAGTGCACACAAATACACATATATTGAAATCCACATTACTTTGTATATTTGCTCCCATTTCTCACAGCTTGGATTCGCGTTCAATATTTTTGTTGGATTGTGGGAATCTAATTATCATCTATGTTGGCATGAATGTGCCCGTCAATGTGCTGGAAGGTGTATTTGGTATGTTTTGCGTATATTTATATTCGATTTCTTATCAATGCTCACTTCATTGTTCTTATTTGTGTGTTTAACTTTAATTCTTAATTATATTTACTAGGTGTTAAAGCGACCGCAGAATTGCCCGACTATTTGTATGGCTTGCCGAATGTGACTAGTCCGGCTAATAATGTTTTAAAACGATTTATCTTGCATTTGAATGATGACAAACCGAATCCGCCAATAGTACAGATTATAAGGTAATCTTTTTACTACATTTCGTGATTAAATTAAAGTCTATGCGAAACTCATTGAATTCGAAATTTGTTGCTAACCATATACATATATACATATATGTAAATATTAAATATATATATATCAACATCATTTGGTATCAAAAAATGGTATCTATAGTCATTCATAAAAAGTGTAAATGGGCTTCATGAATGTGACTGCTGCATAGGAAGCATACGAAGTGCTTAAATAAGTGCAATTACATATACCATATACCTATTTTCATGTTGTATGTTATATAATATTTGATCTCCATATGTCAAATAGTGTGTGTTTAGCAGCTGTTTGTTTACGACGCGAAAGTTTGTCTGGCCATTTTTAGCATTTACTTTATCGCGAATACATGTATTTGAGTGACACAAAGCCTTCAGTGAAGATTGAGAAGTCATCAGCGAATCGTCCACCCACCTATAACGATTAAGGATGATAATATCGAAAAAGTTAAAGAAACAGTGCTTGAAACACAGTGTTGGCGTCAGCTAGATAGCAGACTATTTCAACATCTCTTATAGATCGACTCAATACATTTTGGTTAATGCCTTAGGAGAGTCATCGTATTCTCTAGATTTCGCTTCCTGTGACTTTTTCTGTTTATAAAACTGAAAAATGCTTTTCGGGGAACGCACCATTAGCCCATTGAAGCGCTTACATATGAGCAATATAATCCTGTTCTCCGAACTCGGTTATTAATCCGACCAAAGTCTGTCAACTTGGCAGCCAATTTTAAGAATATTTGGGAAATATTTTATGGCTGTACAGCAACAACAATGTAGTCGAGAGATAGTTTCAGATTATTGGGATTGACCGCCAAGCGTGTGCCTAAATCGTGATAGAGACATTTTTTTAAGTAAATAGAGTAAAAAATACAATAACAACAATTATGATGGTGTCTTTTGCTATTAAATGTGGAAAAGCATTTACATTTTTAAAGAATAGCTAATGTATGTAATTATAGCAGGGTATACTATGTTTACCACGAAATTTGTAACATCCATAAGGAAACGTTGGAAATTACCATATATAACAATGATCATCGTGACGAACTCAGTCGATTAGCGTATATTAGTATTTACGTTAGTATATACGTAAACTAGTCACTCAGTTTTTGTTCAGACCAAAATCATGTTCTTGTATGGAAAAGACAAGATATTTTCACGAAATTTGGCATAGATTGCTGTCCTACGGAAAATCTAAAATCTCCGAGTAAACATTTTAACTAACCGATCAAAATAAAGTTCTTGTATGGAATCTCTTGTCTTGTTGTAAAGATATTAAAGCTTCGGTGCAGCCGCAGTTAACGTTTTGTTTTGTTTTTAAATCAAAAATATTATATTTTATCACATTTGCTCTTATAGCAAGATTATTACTTATTCTACTACAATTATTTGCTTTTTTCTTATCTTTAAAGGGACACGAGTACGGCCAAGCCACAGTTTATTGAGAAATTAGTCGATGATCGCAGTGAATCTAGTTTATCATATTATGAATTTTTGCAACATATACGGACTCAGGTTAAATAGTATATTATAAGTGGAAATTAAACGGATTAATTGATTACAATATACATGCATATATAGATACAATAATTTAAAGAAATTAGCCACAAATGATGAAAAGAAGATAACAAATACAAAAAGCGATTTCTTATCTTACACGTAAAAGAGTAAAAGCGTATGAATGTAATCAATTACTTATAAATATAAATATATTATACATATAAACAAACAATTAACTACTACTACCTACTATGTGGTTGATTGATATACGAAAAAGGAATTTACAGTTATAAGTACGCATATAATCTACAAGCAAATATGAAAATAAACAAATTAATTAACTTTAGATTATAAATGAAAAAAGAGAAAACTAACAATATACCTATATATATATATATATAAATATGTCTTAAAGAACTTAGAAAGCAAGAAATCGTAAGAAAAAAATGTAGTCTATAAGCGCGAAGGAGCGAAGAATAAACACGACGCTTTTGCATAGCGTAAACAGCAACAATTGAAATAGAAATACATTAGTTACAAACTTAAAACAACACAGCTGAGTAGAACACCTCATAACTACAACGGGGTTTTTAATATACATACATACAAACAAATATACAGAAATGAGAATTAAAAAAGCGTGTTCAAAACACCGGCGCATTAAACTTAGTTCGTTGCATACCTAACAGCTGTGGTACTATGCGAATATATATTTGTAACACCGTATTTCCCGTTGCATTGTTCAAAACTATAGAAGAAAATTAAATATAAAGTCTTTCCGACGAAATTGTGTAGTTGAGTGAGCGGAAGATGGAGAATGTCTTATATGTGTATTCATACCATACATATTGATGAGCACTATCGCAGCATGTTTCACATTTGACTGATGAAGGCAATAGATAAGTAGACGAGATAACGATGTTAAAATATTGAGTAAGAAGTGTTAAACATTCTAGCCAGCAGCTGCTGTGCTATGCGTATTTAACAATGCAACGCAATTGTGTTATTGTCTGTACATAGGGAATTAATAAATAATAAATAATAACAAATTATACACATTTTAATGCCTAAGTTTCAAAATTAAAATTTTTTTTTGTAACTTAAAATTTTCGTGCTTCGTATTTGATATGAAAACGGTGGTTTTCACTTTTTATTTCAATTTTTTACTTTATTTGTTGTCAGCAAATTAGAAGAAAAACTATTTCTAAACTAATAAAAAAAAAACACTTTTTCTTAATATTTAGGTAAATGCTTTGGTTTTATGAAAGGTGTGGTGACTACAACGAAAGTTTTATTGTTTTAACTTATTTTACAAACAAATTTAATGTGAAAAGTAATCGGAAAAAAATAGAAATAATAAATTACATTGGTTTTTCGATTTGAAATTGATATAAAGCGCATACCATATTTATTTGGTTTTCATTATATCAAAGATATATTTGTTCAATAGGAGCTGCGAAAAGCGACCAAGTTACGAAATTTGCGATAAATAAGAAATATATACGCCATGTGGCATATTTAGTAGCTTATATAAGAAAGTGTTTTAAGCATTAAAAATTATAAATGATTAAGTTTCCTAAACAATTTTAGTTATTATTTAGTATGTTTTCTTAGTGGCTTATTGAAATTTGTTAGCATACCATATATGAATATTGTATACAATTTATGTTATGTATATACATTAGGGTGTCCGTTATTTGCCATTTTGATTTTTTTTTTTTGCAAACGCCTCTTGAAATTTCAGTTTTTGTCCTAAAAAAAGGATTCAATGTAAACAAGTTCTTTATTTTCAATTTAAACTATGCTCAATACATATTTTTTGCCCATACATATTTATAACAAGTAAAGCTACATCCTTGAAAATATGATTTTACCGCTTTACAAAAAATCTTAATGATATTTTTTCATAAAACAATACTTTAAAAGTTATACACAGTCAAAGTTATAGATCAGATGTCCTGAGCATTCATACAAGTGCATATTTTATACACGCTGTGTTGCTTATACGACATGGTGTACTGTATAAATACAGTGTATTTGATGCATAACTTTAACTGCGTATAACTTTTAAAATAATGTTTTTATGGAAAAATTATTAAAACCTTTTTATAAGTCATTTTTATAATTTGTAATCTTAACAAAAAATCGTAAAATATATAAATATACATGTGTATGCATATATTTTTTAAATATTGTTGAGTGCTTTTCCAGTCGCCCTTATTTTTATGCTGTGAACCAATGTGTCTAAAAGATTTTACATTTAAAAATGTTTCCACACAATTTTTTTTTGGTTATTTACACAAGCATAAATAAATATTTATATGATTTAAATTTTTTATTAATTAAGCAAAAAAAAAAACCATCTGTTAGTAAATTTCTGAATTATTATTAGTTATATACGTATTAGGACTAAGTTCTTTCGGTTTTAGCGGTTCTATGCAATTATAAATATATATACTTACATTATATACGTACATGCAAACAGATTTGTATATGTATGTATAAACAAATATGCTATACAATAATGTAACTGTAACTATTGTGGATAAAAGCATAATTTTTAATAAATTTAATGCAGTAAGCTAATTTAAATTAAACAAGAAGTTTGTTGACTCTATTTTTCTTTCTTAATTAAATGAAATGAATGCGCTGAATTTAACTGAGGCCGTCTTTTATGATTTCGTTCGCATCCATCAATTATACTACTAAGCGAAATGATAACGTAGATGACTTCAATATATAATATTATATATATAGGTGGTCAATTTTATTTAGTCTTGTTGTTCCCCGCTAATGTGAGTTTATAAAAAATAATTTTTTTGTGATATTTCGTTAGGTTATACCTTTAAAAATAACATACTAAAATTTTAATATCGATATCTCAAATAGTTTTTGAGTTACAGCCTTCTTAAGTGTAGCTGCTCAGTTCGATCAGCTCTGTCAGTGTAGCTTTAAACGAGTTTTTCTCGAAACAGCATTTTTCAAATTTGCTTAAGTATTCAAAATGATCCGATGAAATACGCGCCCAAACTGTCTGCCTAACATATCGTTTATAGGAATGAATCCCGCTTAACTTAAAACATATTATTTTCAGAAAAAATTAATCCAAATAAAGTTGAATAATATTTTTGATTATTATTTAAAACACATTTAGTATTACATGTGTATATATTATATTAAGGTACCTAGAATTACATTAATTTATTATTGAAAAATAAATAAGTTCAAATGAATTATGTATATTTTATTGCCGAAGACATTTCGAAGTTCGCTTTAAAGCTAAAAACAATTACACGTAAAATCGCCACCACAATTTCCGGTATTGTAGCCTCTGCTCTTACAATACAGCATACAATTCAAGTGATTTCCTATTTCATCACAATGCACAAAAATCGGTTTGGGGCGACCTTGACTGCGCGTATCGTCTTCGAAAATAGTTTGGTGACCTAAAAAATAAATAATTAATGTATTGAAAGTAAAAAAATGCACAAAGAACTTAGGTTTGTAGCTCAATTTACTACTGTGGTGGGTTGTGGGTTCAAAAGTGGCCGAAGAAAATCTGAAAAAGCTATTGCCCTACGGCAAGGTATGTCAAACAAAGGAGTGTTACTTCGTCTTTGAAAAACAGCTAATAAAGTGCAAGTTAGCCGTCTCCACTTCTCGAATAACTTCAAATTTCACACCTCAAATAAGAAGATAAACACCCACATGCGTTTCCTTATAATCTTTAGCTAATTAGGTGTAGTTCTAGAATAGACTATCATAAATTTTCTGACCAACTTAACAACCACTATGTCTAAGAGCACCTCGTTACACCAGATAATGGAGACTCTAGAAAAATTCAGTGAAACCTTACTTATTAAGTATATATGTTTCCCAGCTTTTGAAATCTTGAAGAGAAGTATCTCTTATATCACAGACCTAGTGATGCTCCTGACAGTCAGTTTGCCAAGACACGACGTAACTTGATTATTATACGATTGTTCCAATATCTGAACAAGCGTTGGAAAGCTACTTCCTTTTTTTCACTCAAATACCAAATGTTTTTTGTTTTCATTATTTTAATATGAAGAAAACCTCATCTGAAAGTCATCGGAAGTAGAATTTTATGGTGAACATGTTCTAGCTGAGCCAACATGAAAAAAGGAATTTACACGATTTCAAAGTGTTTATTTTGGCTTGGAAAACGAAGGACGTCCTGGACGGCAGAATCTCGGCTTAAGCAGCCATTTCAAAACGTTTAAAAGCAGTCGGATAGATTTAAAATCAAAGAATTTCGGTGCCAAATGAATTGACACGAAGAGACGTTGAAAGACGCTGTTGAATGTCAAAAATGGTGCTTGAACGCAACAATTAGAAGTCGTTTTGACATCGGATTGTGAAAAATACAACCCTAAACGCAAAAAATCATACTTGAACCTTTCAACGGCAAATCCGAATATTCTGGACGCCAAGGCGATGCTCTATATTTGGTGTGATCAGAAGGACGTGCTGTGCTATGACTGCTATCAATAATAACTCATCAAATTGAATCGAGCTATCGCCAAAAAACATCTGTAATTTGCGACAGGAAACGAGGCAATAATTTTCCATTATGATAACGCTTTGGCTTATGTGGCAAGATAGATTAAAAACGATTTTAAAAACATACGTCTTATAGCCCAGACCTTGCCTCTTTTGACTACCATTTGGTCCGGTCGATGCAAAATGCCATCACTAGAATACGGCTCCCATCAGAACAGGGTATCAAAAATGGAATACAAAAATTGCCGGAAAGGTGGGAAAAGTTATAGCTTCAGATGAACAGTACTTTGACTAATACTATTGTACATGTTATTTTTTTAAATAAACGCTCAAATTTTGAAATAAAACGCATTATTTACAATATGTACTCATAATTTTGCTGCAAAGTCCGATAGAACTACTCATGAAAGTGCAATCAAAGCTCTTGGTGACTGTCGTATTTTAGAAATTAATATTTTCGGGACTTGCGACATTGATTTGTAAGTATAGTATTTGCAATTCAATAAATAAATATGTATATTTCTATAAACATTCTCAATTACCAAGCACCGGCGCAGCATGACTTAGCATCGACATCAATATAACTGTTATAGCGATGATTGTAACGATAACTTGTGACAGCATTTTCCGGCCGAAGAGCAGCTTCCGCAAACGAGACTTTGTATATGTATGTTATATATAATATTTATTAATGCAAATTTGTTGTCTTGTTGTGTAATTGCTTGTTATTGTCCGCCGTGGAGTCTCTGATAAGCGGCGATTATGAGAATAGCTCGGTCGTCCAACAATAAAACGCAAGCGCAAGTAAAAATTCGCGAATGTAACTGGAAGATTCTTACGCTGGGTGAGCGAATAACAATTAACAAGCTAGAATTGACAGTCCGATGATCTTTCGACAGAACCGATTGCGTTGAAATTTCGGAAGAAACTGTTTTAAGGGGCTCAAAGCGATGCTATTTTTTACGCGATCGCAATCGGTGATAATGATTGGCAGAGATGAAGTCAACGGCAAGGGGGTAGTAACATGGAATCGCATGCTGTATTCGGATTTGAAATTTAAATCTGTCACTTGTGATCTATTATAAGCAGCTCCGACCTCTGTGTTTTGTTTATCATTTTCATATGCAAATGACTCATTTGACGAGATGTACCCTGCAGTCGGTATTTCCGTATAAATACACAATTTGTATATGTAGGTATGTACAAAGATTAAAAGGTTTTCCGAGGAAAAGATTATTAAAGCGAGAAAAAACCCGATTACAATATATGTGGAGGTGATCTGCTCACAAAGCGCAACCTTCGGAGCTTTGAACTGCTTTATTTTTTGTTTTTTTTTTGGACGTGCCAAGTGAGGTGGTCAAATCTTATTCATGAATATATCTCAGTTCTATCCGATTCATAGCCATTTTCTAAGGCTTTTCCTATAGTCTGATGTAACAATTCTTCATAGAGTTTAAAACGACAACCCCCAACTTAGTTCTCACCCAATAATTATACTAAATTAGTAGGCCTAACGACGCTATATAATTCTAAAATGTAGGTACCTTAGACTCGTCTATGTTTAATAAAACGCATATATTAGGTAAATTAAGATATGCTTTGCAAATTATGTTATCCGTTCATTCAAAAATAAACTAATAAATTTATTTATGCATTTTTACTTCTAAAAATAAAAACACAATTTTAACAATTTAAAATAAAAAAGAAAACAAATTTTTGAAAGCAATGAGTTTGTTTGGCCGTTCGTCGCATCGGTGTGTTAAGCACTTGACACAAAATGTGAGCCAAATATGTATACGGTGGAACACGAGTAAATGCGATGCGAAGGGTGGCAAAGGCGGTAAAGCAGATCTCCGTACAGTTCTCACCGAAAAAATCAAATCAGAACAAGAACGAATCAAGAAGTTTGTCAAAGAGCATGGCGACACCAAAATCGGCGAGGTGAAGATATCACAAATTTATGGTGGTATGCGTGGTATACCAGCATTACTTTGCGAGACTTCGATACTCGATGCCAATGAAGGTATACGTTTTCGAGGGCGCACCATACCAGAATGTCATGAGCAACTGCCGAAGGCTGAGTGTGGTGATGAACCCTTGCCAGAGGGCATCTTTTGGCTATTACTGACGGGCGATATACCCACAACGGAACAGACACAAATGGTTACTGACGAATGGAATGCAAAGGCCGAACTGCCGGATTATGTTAAAAGAATGTTGGATAATTTACCAAAAGATTTGCATCCAATGTCACAGTTTTCAATGGCCGTAACATCGCTCAACAAGGATAGTCAATTCTTGAAAGCCTACCATACGGGCGTGAAGCGCGCCGAATTCTGGAAGTATTCGCTGGAAGACGGCATGACATTGCTCGCCAAATTGCCAAATATAGCGGCGCGCATTTATCGAAACATCTATCGTGACGGCAAGGGCTGCGATGAAATCGATAAGAAGCTGGATTGGGCGGGCAACTATGGTCGCATGCTAGGCTATGACGATCCACTTTTTTACGAAGTTTTACGCCTGTATCTGTACGTACATAGCGATCATGATTCGGGCAATGTTTCATCACACGCCACCCATTTAGTGGCGTCGGCATTAAGTGATCCGTTTCTTGCATATGGAGCTGGTCTAAACGGTTTAGCCGGTCCTCTACATGGGCTGGCCAATCAACAGGTATTAGTGTGGATGGAAAAAATGCAAAAAGAATTGGGTAGTAAAAATCCACCGGAGGAAAAAGTCGAAGAATATGTACTAAAAACTTTGAAATCGGGCCAAGTGATACCTGGTTACGGACATGCGATCTTGCGTAAAACTGACCCACGCTATCTGGCGCAACAAGTATTCGCCGACAAGTATTTACCGCAATATGAAACATATCAATTGGTGAAGACAATTAACAAGGTGGTCCCAATCGTACTGCAATCGCGAAAGAAAGTAAGAAATCCCTGGGCAAATGTGGATGCCCACTCCGGTGTCTTGTTGCAGTACTACGGTTTGAAGGAAATGCAATACTATACGGTGTTGTTTGGCGTTTCGCGTGCACTTGGTGTGATGGCGTCGATCACCTGGCATCGGGCCTTACAAATACCCATCGAACGACCGAAGAGCTTCACCACTGATGCATTAATGGCGATGGCGAAAGCACAAGCAGGTGGTAAAAGCAAATGTGATGGCAAAGGTGATAAAAAATAGAAAATGAAAAAAAAAAAAATTTAAATGGCGTTTAAATATTATCTTGTGTTGACCGGTATGATGTTAAGTAGTATCAAGACAATATTAACTTTACACGTTACCCATGTTCCGTTTAGCGAATTAAAATGCGTTAATTTTTGGACTTTAATTTTAATATGAACTTTATTAATTGGTCGCTGTGTGACTTTAGAACACTTTCGCAAAAGTGAAATCCAACCGCTAGTTCTGCCAGTCATACGGCAGCCTTAAGCGTCAAGCTGTTTTATTTGGCATTCGTTTTTTGCTTATTTTATGTGGTATTCAGAAGTTCTCTATATTTGGCTCATTCTCTGCTCAAAATGTAGGGACCTACAAATCCGAACGCCGAATGGCTAATGCATTTAAAAAGTAGCTTTTTCATGTAATAAATATTCTCGGGTATTTACACTGCGTGACGAGAGATGAGCACTATAACATTTAACTATAAGATTTCAGGGAGTCGAACTCAAGTTTTTTAATCACTACATCTGGTAATTTTTATTAGGATTTAGTGGAAATCTAAAACTCTATGATACGAAAATAAATTAAGGGGTTGTATCCACTCCTGAATTTCAAAATATCGATTCTATACTAATGTATATCGAATGAATGAATATATTTAGATACATTAAAGAACATTTTCCAAATCCGAAAAGTTGATCTGACAAATAGCTTCGAAAATATGAGTAAAAAAATGTAAACTTATTGCAATCGGCTCCCAAAACTGCAAAATCGATTGGCTCGAAACGATGTTTTCAGAGTCGTCTCCGAAACGGCTGGACCGATCGACTTGAAATTTTCACACCATCTTCTAAGATATACTTTTCTGCAAAGATTTTGGCAATGATTTCGGTTTTTTAAACCGCTGTGAATTGTAAATTTTTTATCACACAAATCAAAATTTTTACTAGCCCTTTATTGATTACCTGATTCACTTATAATTATATTTTTTGTTTGTTTTTGAATTTGAGAGAATTTCAAGTAAAAATGTCTTGCTCACCGCCACACAAAATTTTTCAATATAAATCATCTATTATTAAAGTACATTAAATTGTTTACATTTTTATTCATTTATTTATTAAATAAAATGTCGTTTAAAAAAAAACGAAAAAAGCGCGTTATTCCTGACGAGCAAGTGAAAAAACGGCTTCAATATTACATATATTAGATATTTATAATGTGTGATTTGATTTTATCCGGCGACATTAAAGCTTCTTCCGAACTGCTGTGAGAGTAAATTGCTCAAGCCTCTAATACTTTCGAATATTTTAATATAGCTTTCATATATAAAATCAAATGGAATTTCGAAACAAGAAATTATACAAACTAGCTGTTTTTAATATATTTTATTTTTATAAGCATTCAATAAACCCAAAAATTATGCTATACATAAATACTTTATATGTATAAGAACATTTATGTATTTACCTGCTATGCGTACAAGTTTTATTCATTACAATATATTTTTAATCAAGTTATTTTAAATTTATATATAATATATGTATATATAACACATCCTAAAACAGTCTTATTTCATGAATTCTGCTCCATTGCGAAATTTAATAAAACTAACAGATTCATTACGGTAGGGAAGGGGTATGCATATACAATAATTTATAAACGGCAGGCAAAATAAGTAATTTAAATAAAGTTAGTTGGGAAAGGCAGTTAATATACAATAAATGTGCCAATTTTATAATTTTCTAGTGTTCTAAAATTACAATTTTTTAAAAGAATTTAAGCTATTGTGTTTTTATATAAATTAGAAGTTTTCAGGTAAAAAAAACTACCAGAGAAATAGTTGTAATGCACACCCGCTTCTTACATCACTGCTTATTCCACTAGTTTATTTAGAAATTAGTTTTTATCTAATTATTGTAATGCTAACTAATTTATATACCTAATGTGCATTTAGTACCCTTACTCGTACTTTTCTTTATTTCTTTTTACAATGCTTGTTGTCTGAGTAAACGTATTTAAAAATAAAAAAACTTAAGCTATATACATCTATGTATGTACATATACCATATATGTCATAAATATAATATTAAATGTTCAGTTAGCGGTAAAATAAACATGCGCACCGCATAGGGCAATGAGTGGTTCGTGAGTAAAAATTTTAATAAACGAAATTGTAAAATTATTAAATACTATTCAGCAAAATATACATACAATTTGTATTTTCACATAAAAATTGGTGTTTGTTTTTTTATTGTATTGTAATTCTTATGATTTCTATCACTGAGCTTTCGACCACATACGTGGTCGTATGCATTTTCCACACTCACAACCTACGCACCCACTGAACATGCACATACATACATACATGTGATATGAGATATGCTTTTAAGTGGCGCATTTAACAAACTTTTACATTTTTTAAATATCAAAATCATAATACAAATAAATACACAATAGGAATCATCTTAACGGTTAATGATGTTTGCTAAATGAGAATGATAAATGTTTATTTTGTATATACATGCATTTCAATATATGTGTTTGATGTTGAATGGTTTGATGTTTACATAATTATCCATTTACACGTTTCTAATAGGAACACACCCACTTCTTGAGGCACACATGATTCTATTATAATCATTACTACTACAAAATAATTAGTTAAAACTAATATTTCAGTCATATGTGTCATATATGTTTGCCTTTTGCGCAACACATCCCCAGTTTAGAAGGGTTATGTGGTTTGTTATATAATCAATTGCTTGTGGGTTGATTGGCTGGCTAATCGGATAACTGGCTTATAAATTATTCATTAGCATAATTTATTGGAAGTGCACTTCACTGCTCAGCTGCTTGATTGCCTAAAATGGAAGAATAATTATTTTCGGTTATTGTAGAATATAAAAATATTTTTAAGTTATTTCTTAAGGGCACGATAGAACGATAAATGGACATATGAAGGCAATACAGTTCGAATAACTTCTGAAAAATAGTTTGTAGTTTAAGATTAAGGGCGGACATAGATCGGATTTCAAGCATCCAAAATAAAAAAAGACATAAATTAAAATATTTATAATAATATAAAAAGTTATTTAAAAAATTAAATAATTAAAAAAAATATTAAAAACAATAAAAAAAAATTAAAACATTGAAAAAATAAGTACAAAATATTAACAAAAATTTAAAATAAAAACTAAGAATTAACGAAAAAAAAATTAAACAACAAAATTATAGAAGAAATAAAAGAAATTACAACAAATATATATTTATTAATTTTTATTTATTTAATAATAATTTATTAATTTTTTTTATAAAAATATATAAAAAAAGGTAAGCATACAAAAAATTAAAATAGAAAAACTAAAAACAAAACATTAAAAATATATTAAAATAAAAAAAAATTATATAAAAAAAAAATTCACAAATAAAAAAAAATTATATAAAAAAAAAATTCACAAATAAAAAAAA